ACTGAAAAAATGATGCTGCAATCAGCTGGCTAAGTCAGATACAATTATATTATCAGATCAAACATGAACTCACAGACAGACAGTTAACAGAATTTCAACAAGTCTTAAGATCTGTCACATTTCTATATGAAAAAGTGAAGTCATTATAGATGACTGATGAAAAGATGAATCTCACAGATCTGAAGCAATATTCATTCTTATAAATATGAAATGAGTTTTTCAAGTGAATCTTGCACAACTTTGAGAAAGTGAATGTGTGAGACAAGTGTTATGAATACTTCACTGAGTGTAGATAAGTGAGTAATCTTACATCATACTTCACACACTTCAGCTTACACTATCTTATATTGAATAAAGAGCTTTCAACATCTTTCTATTTACAGATCTTCATTCATGGTCTTACATCTGAGTTGAGAGTGGAATGAAAATGCTTAATCTCACAGCCAGGCACAGTGAAGAAAGTATACAACATTCTCATTATACAGGAACAAGTGAGTCAATTGTAACAGAAAATACTGCAATTGAGTATGTCTCAGTGAAGAATGAGTAATCAGACTTCTACAACACAAGTTATACACCTGGACACAATGAATCTAGATCTGAATGTTATTACTAAAGTGTTAAATTCTCTGAAAAAGAGATTCCCTGAGTGAAAATCTTGATATTGCAAGTATTGAGCTTGTTTCAACTGCAGACATCAAAATCATGATGTAAAAGATTGCACTCAGCATGCACAGTCAAAAAACTAGCAGGATCAGTGAGCTCAGAAACACTCACTGATATTCTATGAAAAGTCTTCAAAGTGAAAGAGATGTCTGTGTTAGATGACTCTCTGAATCCTGCAAATGTAAAGAAGAAGCAGGCTTCTGACTGAGATGCAGATGAGGATGAAGTGAACACTCATCTCAATGCCTTAAGACCTGAAATGTTAATGTATAAGAGGCACTTGAATAAAAATCAAGAGATGACTGCAAAAGTGTTAGTGAATACAGAAGCTTCAACATAATATATTAATAATTATATAATTCAAAGATTGAAAGAGATCTGCTGAGTGAAGAATCTTCAACATATAAGATTATCTGATAACTGATATTTAATATCATCTGCAAAAGTAAGAGTTCTCTTGCACTTCAGAGAATGATCTTGCTATATTTGAGTGTGAGAGCTGCAGAACATGAAATACAACCTTATTCTCAGACTTGATTGATTTCAAAGGTTCAATCTGCAGATTCAATGATGTACATGCCATATGCAGTTGACTGATAGAAAGAAAATGGTTCATACAATTCTATCAACTGATATGAGAAGGACATTTCACATCTCTGATATAGAAGAGTTAAATCTGCTTACACATTAACAAGTAAAGAGAACAATTCACAAGATCTCATTTAAAAGCATTCTATATGTTATACAGGACCCAGAAGCAGAGGAAACCAAGATAAAAGATATATGAGAGGATAAGTGTATGAAGAAGCTTCTGAAGAAGTATGAAAAGGTCTTTCAAACAGATCTTTCACTGGAATTGCTGCCAGAACAAGGATTTGTACATGAGATTGACACAGGGGACACAAAATCAGTCAATCAGAATGCATACTCTCTGTCACAAATGCATCTTGAAGAACAGAAGTGTCAGATCACAGACCTTCTAGAACATAGTCTCATACAATCCTCATCAAGTGTGTGAGGCTTTTCAGTTCTATTCATGAAAAAGGCAGATGAAGAGTGATGAATGTGTATCAATTATCAAGCACTTAACAAGCTTACAATCAAGAATGAATATTCACTACTACAGATTCAACAATAGTTGAATACAGTTGAAAACACTCAATATCTATCAAAGATCAATCTTCTCTCAGAATACTGGCAGATCTGTGTAGACAAACTGTCAGTTCTGTGAATCATATTTAATATACAATGAGAGAAGTTCAAATTCCTAGTAATGTCATTCAGTCTGACAAATGCACTCATCATCTTTTAAATAATGATGAATACAATCCTTCATAAACAGAATGAAACCTCATATCTTGTATATCTCAATGACATTCTAGTCTTTTCAAACTCATACAATGAACATCTGAAGCATCTCAATGAAGTGCTTACAACTCTGGCAGAGTATAAGCTCTACATCAAATCAATCAAGTGTGTGTTTGAAACAGAAGAGTTGAAGTTTGTGAGACATATAGTGAGTGATAACTGTATACATCTCATCTCAGAGAAATTGAATGTTATAGTGAATTAACTGCAGCTGAGAAACATACATCATGTACAATAGTTTCTTAAGTTGATCTCATATTACTGCAGATTCATCAAGAATTTCACATGAATATCTGCATCACTCTCAGATCTCTTAAGAGAAACAGATGCAAATCTGTGAAAGAAGAAGTTTCATTCAATCATCTGAAATACTGTGTGTGAAGAGGCTTTTCTCACACTGAGGAAATGTGTAACAACATTCTCAGTGCTTATTCAATCAGATCATAATAAACCTTTCTACATTAAGACAGACACATTCAAATGAGCTATCAGAGATACTCTTCTACAGATGAGTAAGAACAGCAAGCTACACCTGATGACATATGATGGTAGAAAACTATCAGGCGCTGAGCTCAATTACTCAGTGCATGAAAAGAAATTGCTAGCAATCAAGCACATGCTGGTGTTGTGGGATAGATATATCAACAACAGGCATATGACAACAATGATCACAGATCATGAAAGCCTCATCTATCTATAATTAACAATAAAACCTTTCAAATGTTTAGCACATTGAATCTCAGAGTTTCAAGTGTATAATCTTCATATCAAATACTGAAAGGAATTGAACACAGTGATGCTGAACACAATCAGTCACAGACCTGATTTCATGAGTGAGAGTCCTGCAAACCAGGCACAAGGGACATTCACATTAAACACACTGAGAAGATGCAAGAAATCAGAATGAGTGAACACCATGATCTCTCACTTGGAGAATGGCAAGATGTCAGATGACAAGTGTCTTATGAAAGTAGTAGAAGAGATGCTTCTGAACTTCAAGCTGAGAAAATTGAGAAATGAAAACAACATTGTGCTTTATCACAATCTAGGATACACAGAAGCTCCCTATCTAGAACCTTCATTTAGACACAACTTAATGACTCGCATGCACAAGGAATTCAGCCACTTAGAAAGCCCTGAACTCATGAGTGTACTCAAATCAAGAGTATACTGGCCAAGCATGGCTGAGGACATTCAGGTGTACACTCATAAGTGCCCGAATTGCCAGGTTGCAAAAGAATCTAAGAAAGAATTAGAACACAAGAAAGTACAATATCAGATGAAGTGTACAATATAACTGTTTGAACAATGAGAGATGAATCTCATAGACATATTACTGTGAATGTCAAATGAAAATTGATGAATAATCACTGCTATTGATTACACTACTGGCTGGCCAGTTGTGAAAGCAGTTTCAGAGATAACAGAGAAGATAATAGCAAAGTTTCTACACAATGAGATCTATATCAACTATGAAATGCCATGTGAGATTCTAACTGATAACAGTGCAAATCTCATAGGAGAAGTGATGAGGCATTTCATGAGCCAGTTACAGACAAGATATTATAGAACAACATCATATCATTCATAAACAAACAGAAAGATAGAATGCTTGAATGAAATCTTGAGCAATATGCTGATAAAATATCTAGTGAGTAAGCCTACAAGACTATGAGATGAATATCTCAGACAGACGCTATTGACCACACGGATTCAACAGCATGCAGTCTTCAAGTGTTCACCATTCTACCTGTTGTATGAATTGCATCCGCGCATCCCGGAAGATGCTTTGAAAAAGATGAAGGAGAGAGCAGTTACAGATGCAACAGTAGCAGTTGCAGATGCAACAGTCACAGACACGGAACCAAGATTGAAAGAGATCAGCCACACACGTGCAAAAGCTAATAAGTTACTCCTGAACTGAGCAATTCAATTGAAAAGAATATGAGACTCACTTGTTAAGAAATCAAGTCTCAAGATAAGAACATGAATTCTCATACACAATGAGAGTTCTGAGAAGTTCCAACCTAGGTGATTTGAGTCATATAAGATACTCAAATCACATTCTCTGAGAACATATACATTGAAAGAATCAGAGAGACAGATCTTACACAACTTAATCAATGATTTATAACTTGTGAAAGCAAAGATGCAAGACTTAAGCAGATTATAATCATTTACAGCACTATCATCAGTGTTGAAAAAGAAGAGACTTACAATTGAAAAGCCTCATGAAGTAAGAGAAATCATAGACACTTACAAATCAGATGATCTCACTTATTTCAATCTTTTCATGATTATAAGAAAAGAATGAGAAGAAATGAAGAAATCAGACAAACACCACACTTCAATAAGTGATAAGACTGTAGTTAATCATATAATAACATATCACAGATAGCAGATGCAACACAGTAAAGAGCAGTCTCAAAGCAGCAGACTTGCATATGAGTCAGATCACAGAAGAAAAAGAAATTCAGAGTTAAATTTAACTGTTTACATCAGTTCAATCATGAAGATCACAGAGAACAAACTATCTGAAACATCTGCAAACATGTGAGATCAAGCCATCTCAACCTCTGAAGACACTCAGAGATCAGATGAGATTAGTTTCAATAAGTCATTTACTGTAGTGATCTGAGCAGGTGAAGAGAGACAGTATAATATATGAGACAGAATCACAAAAAGTTAAAAGCTGCTGAACCTAGTCACTGAACACTGTATCATATAGAGGTCATGTAAGAGTAGTGACTAACAGATAGAGAAAAAGCATAAGAAAAGAAATGATGAATTGATCATTAACTGTAAGAGTCAGTCATAAAAGACAAATGTTATCATACACATCTCATTCATTTTTATATACTATATATTTAATCTATTTCCAACATCATGCCACCTGAAAAACATCAAAAACAAAGAAAATCTCAAAACTCAAGATTTGCAAGAAATTTGAGAGTCATAAGCCACTCTTACAATAACATCATGCATGTCTCTGATTCCTCTATCACTCTGCATACAACATTAATATCATTGATCACAAGATTGACTGAAATATCAATATAGAAATGCGCACGCATATGCATAGAGAAATTGAAGAAGAGCATGAGATCTGCAGAACCAGAAGCCAGAGCAGAGAGAATGAAGGCAGAAGAAACAGAAGAAGAAGAAGACACAGAATCAGATGAATAACAGAAGCCACCCAGAGTCAAACACTTATAACTCAGTGTGCACACGACCTTCTCTGCAGAGAAGAGAGAAGAAGTGATGAGAGAAGCTTGAGAGTGAAAGAAGGTAGTCTCAGCAGCATTATCATCTTCAATTAAAATGACCTCTGGCGCCAGAGTAACTAAGAACTATTGTTAGCATACAAAACTGCAAAAACAGGGATAACAATTATCAAATAAACACTCACTGGCCTTAGAATTGTACATGCAATTACAACATGCACAAGGCTTCTCAGAAAGAGAGAGAGGAACACAGAGGAATACAGGAAGCAGAACACAGTGTGCAAATGACTCATTCTCATAATAACATCTCAGACAAGGTGTATGAGCCTCACACCTGTGAGTGTAAAAGAGTATGACATTCGCATTCTCATTTCTGAAAACACAGATATCTTTTGTCTGCATCACAAAGTTAAACAACAGATATCAGAGAATAGGCTAATACAGATCTATCATTCTGAAGAAATTCATCAGAGCAGATATCTCTGCAATATTGAACTTTACAGTTATAAAAAGTTCCTTGATATCTGTGAACACTATGACTTTGTACACAGTAAAACTCATAATAATTTCTCCTAAGAACAGAAAAATCAGTATTAGAAAGAAAAGATGAAAAAGAAAAAGACTTACAATCTCAACACTGTTGAAAGAGGGAGTGATTCTCTGATATGAATAAATAATTGTCTCATCACAAATATTTAAAATGAATGTAATAATCAGTGTCTGTGACTGAGCTTTAGATAGTTGTGTTGTATACAGTCTTCATACAATAAATTATTCTAGAGATTGACAAGAAGAACAGAAGTGTACATACTGAGAAACATGGTTCACTGAGCCTACACAACATCTCCTTGAAACAGGGAGAGCTAGTAAGAAAGACAGAGACAGCAAAACCAGGAGTAGCAGAAGTAGAAGTCGCGGGAACAGGGGTAGCAGAAGCAGAGGAATCAGACACAGGGACAAGTGTAGAAGATTGAGAGAGAGCAGCAGGGAAAGAAGCAGCAGAAGAGGCAGAGAGAGACACTGAAGACTCAGTTATACATGACATGAGCAATTCCTTCATTAAGATGTTCTTCAAGTTCTCAATCAATGATTCAACACTGAGTTCACTATCATCAGCAGACACAGATCTGTCAACACATGAAGATTCTACACAAATAAAAACAAACATCAGCATCTGCATTCACATAAAATTATGCCAGAAAACATGATCAGAAACTCACTGAGAAGAAGAAACAGTCAAGAGTGTATAAGAAGATGAAGAAGATGTGTCATCATTCATGATAATACATTGTTCTGACAATCATTAGAAGATAAACAAGTCCTGATCACATTTCACAATGTGTTACACTTACTGCTAATGAACTGCCTGATATGAGCACTACAATGACACTTGTTGTGAGAACAAGAGGCCATTGCCAGAAACATGTACAATGTGATAGATGAACAGATCAAAAGAGTTGAACAGAAGAAGAGATAGAAATCTTGAATGAGATGATAACATTCAATGATGATGATGATGAAGAAGATGATTGAAGAATGAGAAAAGTTAGTGAATGAGTGATGTAATATAGTGAAAGTTTCTTTGTGAGAGTGTACACAGAACACTAGCTGAATCAGAGATAGGTCACACAATTATAAAACACTAGTGATGAGCTAATCTGCATGAAGCTAGAGTGTACAACATGGTCATGTGAGCGTGACTGAATCTGATGAGAGAGGATGTGATTTGGAAGAATGTATGACTGTCAGATAATCACGCGGCCGCTTCCGAACTACTAGCATATGTGTACAAGTGTAAAGGGGCCATAGTGTACGCTAATTAATTTAGTGTACGAGATTACAATATAAGAAGCCAGCGTACGCCTGTAATCGTACGCTGGCTTAAGCAACCTTTGAATCATATCTAATAAAATAAGTTAACTGTTTTATATCTAAAAGAATTATACAACTCTTCTTTGATGAAATGAAATAAGATAAGACTGAGATAAAAATAGAAGTATCACAGAGATCTTCAATCTCACTCATTTTATTTACAATATACACTGCATATCTATTCAAAAATAGAAATATGAGAATAGTGCAATCTTCAAGTTATATGAATGATATTGATCTAGTCTACAGCTTAAAAACTATTAAAGAGAATTTGAAAGTAATTGAAGAAGCTGCAAAGAAAATCTTTATTAGAGCAGATATCAATCAAATTCAATTTAATATAAATAAAACTGAGTTAATTCATTTCTTTTCTAGATTCAATGAGAAAGAACTATCTCTAACTCTTTTAAATAGAGAGATTAAACTCAGTGTAAATGTTAAATGATTAGAAGTATGATTAAACTTCAAGTTGAATTTTAAATATCACATTTAACAAAGAACTGTCAAGACAGAAAGACTATTGAACAACATAATCAGACTATTAAATACAGAGAGAGGTCTATTCTTTCAGGCTATGAGACAGTTATATATAGCCTGTATTACATCAGTAGCTGATTATGAAGTTTAAGTTTGATGAAATAATCAAGAGAATTTCACTGAACTCTTTCAAAGTCTGTAAAACAGAGCCTTGAGAAGAATTCTGAGAGCATTCAAATCATCTTTCATTAAAGCAATGAAAATTGAAGCTTCAATTCCTTCTTCTGCTATTAGATTTGAAAAAGCCTGTATAAACTATGCTCTGAGAGTTGTAAAGATGAGCTTAAATTATATAATCAGAGAAAGAGTCTCTTCTTCATTTTCATCAATTAACTCTGAAAATGAACTGGATTGAAATAGATTTCTTGATTGAAATGAAAATAATTCTTCAAAGAAAATGTCTTCTCAACTGTACAGACTATACTCTCTGATTAAAAATCAATTTTCTTCTTTAAATGTTGAAAAAGTTGATTATGAGAAGTTATCTCTCTGAAGAGAAAAGCTTGAATCTCTTATAGACTTATAAATAAGTGAACTATTAAAAGAGAAAGAATATGAACAGCATTTGAAGAGAATTTCTACAATCAATATAAAAGACTCTATTCTGATTTATTCAGATGACTCAAAAAATGAGAACTTAAATAGATTAGACACAGGCATTGCTTATACTGAAGATAATATTAATTTTATCTCAGATTTCTGAAATCTAGGCTCTGAATGTGAAGTCTTTGATGCTGAACTATTTACAATAGTGAAAGCTTTCAAACTCATTGAAATAAAATCTTATAAAAGAGAAAATTGTTTGAAAGAGACATGAATATTCTCTGATAGTCAAGCTGCTTTAAAAAGACTTAGAAATAGTCAGATTTATAATAATCAAATGAATCTTGAACTGATCTTAAACTCTGTTTTAAAAATTCAAAAGAGAAGAACATCAAAGCTGATAATTCATCTGCACTAAGTTCCTGCTCATATGAATATTCATGACAATGAATTGACTGATTCAGCTGCAAAAAAGAATGCAGAATTAAGCAGATCTATTCAAAAAATTATATTCTGATCTTTTATAAAGAGAAAAATAAAAGAATCTTGTTTAGACAAGAGAAATGAAAGCTGGCAGAAATAAAAGAAGAGTATACATTATTCAAGATTTGAAACAAAACTCAAGTGAAAATCTTGTTCAATTAAATGTAAAAAGAAAATATTCTCATCTATAATACAGCTGAAACTAGGACATGGCTATTTTAAATCTTATATACAAAGATTTAATGATAGATTTGACTCAATAGAATGCTCATTCTGCAATACAAATGAGAATTCTGAGTATATTATAATGCACTGTGCATTATACAATAGTCTCAGAGCCAGATTAAAAGAGAAGTATGATCTAAATCAATTAAATATGAGATTCTTATTCTCAACTGAGACAGAAATTAAATACTTAATAGACTTTCTATCAGAAACTCAAGCAGCTACAAGAAAATAACTAAATTCAGAATTATCTGAATATGAAGAGAAGGAAATTAATCAGATATAGTCTGTTAAAACAGCTATACACTCTCTTTTAATAATTTGTTTTGTTATAGTCTCTCTTTACTTTATCTTTTTCTTTATCTTTTCCTTTCAATTTCTTTCTATCTATCTATTTAATGTGTCTATCTTTGAGACTGTGTTCTTTTTCTTTTTTCTTTTGTCATGATATTGTCAAATGATTTCAAAGTATCAAAAGATGTTAAAACACTGTAATTTGTAAACAGTTTTTGTATTCTGAGCTGGAATTTTCTGATTTTGCATATCTGAAATTGATGAATGTATAATAGTTAACTTTACAGACATAGAAAAAACCCTGAGAACTAAAGTTCTCAGGTAGATGTCATAGTCTCTGACTGCATACATCTATAATTGAAGAATAATAATAATAATAATAATAACAAAGATTCTACTGCTGATTTTCAGAGATTCTTATTCTGAATAAGAAATTCTGCACTGAATTCAGACATTGTAGTCAGAATGATAGAGTTTTCAAAGAAGAATGACTCAATTGAAGCTATAACTGATTTTTGAACTTTAATATCAGTCATTAACTGAGAAAAGAACTGCTGATTAATTTCATTTTTAATTCTGAAAATGAGATTTGAGTTTAGCTTATTTCTCTGCAAGATGTTCTGATTTGAGACTTTGAGAATAAGTCTTCTATTTCTGAAGATTTGAAGATTTTCTTCTTTTGCATTTTTTTCTTCACTTTTCTATGAATAGAAGTATGAGCTTTATTCTTCTCAGTTTTCTCAGGATTTTGAGTATGTTTTGAGATAGCAGGTTTAGAGACAGCAGATTCAGCTGCTTGAGAATATGTTTTCTTCTGATTCAAAGAAGAAGAAGAAGTAGAAAAAGAGAAAGAAGAGTACGATGAGAAGTCAGTAATTGTACTAGAAATTTTCAATGTTTTTTGAACTGTGTTTGAAATTTCAAGTTTGAACTTGATTATCTTCTGTAGTTGTCTAGTCTGAGTATGAAGATTTAGCAGAACTTCTTCATTCATCTCACTCAGACACTGTTTTTCAAGAATCTTGCTTACTTTTTCAAGTTTCTGTATTTCAAGAACTTGTTATTTCTCTATTTCTTCTTTCTTTCTTCTCTTCAGAATTTCAATCTCAGAAATGATATTTAAGAAAGTATCTTTTTTCATATCAACTGAGTGTATTTTTGAACTTATTATTCTCACTCAATGAAAAGTTGATCAGACTGTTTCAATTGAGAGATTTATTAAACTCTTTTGAATTGAAAAGTTGATTAGACTATTTCAATTAAGAGAATTCTAAGTCTGATTTTAATTGAAAACTTAGTTAGACTATTTTATAATTTCTCATAAGAGAAGAGAGAGAAGAGAGAGAAGAAGTCTGTATAACTACTCTCTACAACACTAAGAGTTAACACTCTGAAAATCTCTGTGAGAATTCTTGAACAGAGTATCTATAATCTGAAGAATTTACAGACTTTGAGAAGTACTGTAAAAGACCTGATGTAAGAAGAAACAGAGTATAAGTCTTTATAAGATCTTGTATTCAGATTGTCTGAACTGTAACTGAAGAATAAATATACTCAGTATATTCAGAAACTACTCATAACAGAGATCAACTCTGCAGAAATAAAGAATTGAGAAGACTTAAATAATCTCTTATGAAGAGAGAGCTGAATTTATATACTTATAAATAAGTTTCTATATATTAAACTTATTAAAAGATATCATAACTCTTCTCTAGCAGATCATTTTATAGATACTAGAACTCATGAATTGCTTATAAGAAAATACTTCTGACTGAAGATGTGAGAACTTATAAAGAAGATAGTGAATTCTTATACTATTTATCAGAATTCACAGATAGTGTGATTCAGATTATATAAAGAACTTACT